TAGGGAGGGGAAATGGGGAAAGGGGATGACATCTGAAATGTAAATAAATAAAATATCCAATTAAAAAAAAAAAAAGGTCGATGGCCATACCACCAAGAACGCACCCGATCTCATCTGATCTCAGAAGCTAAGCAGGGTCAGACCTTGTTAGTACTTGGAATACCGGGTGCTGTAGGCTTTAAAAACAAAAACAAAAACAAAAAACAGTCTGTGTTACATTAAGATCCTGTCTCAAAAAAATAAAAATAAAATCTTTAATGCCAATTATTAATTTTCAGTACTGGGACATGTGCTTTTCCTTATCTGGGCATGAGGCCAAGGCATGACCTAGATTGGATTTCATGTGTTCTATCTCCAATGTTTGACTGCTGAAATTCTATAGCCTGGGGTTGCTCAAAGTATGGTCTTTCCCCTTTTTACCTCTATTTCTACAACTGTCTCTTCTGGTTCAGGTTTTTTTCCCCCTTCTTCTTTGGTGGCTCTTGTTCTCCAAGCATCGCTTTTAGGCCAGACATAACTTAAGTGCCCACTTTTCTTACATTTTTGACACCTTCATGAAAATAGTCTTACCTTTAGCTCACTTCCAAAGTCAATTAGGATGTCTGCCTTTATCTCTTTATCTGCTAGAGTAACTGCTGTTTACTTCTTTGGTGCACTTCTGTGGGCTTAATCTAACAATAGTAAATACAAACCCTTTACTCTCCCAGTATCTGTTTATTTCTTTAAAAAACCTTCACAGTTCTGTCATACTTGGAAAATATCAGTGTAAATCACATGTGCAGGGAGATGGGCAAGTTGGATATATATGCTTGGAACCAACTCAACTCATGGATTTCTTCATGAGAAGGCCCAAGAAGTGAGAAGTATGAGTCATGGCCAGCTGGGGTTCAACTTCAGCTTTTCCTGGCACACTCAGTATTGTTGGCATCAAAGATGCTGGGACAGATATTAATAGAATCTATAAGACAACAGCTTGGGTAGGTATCAATCTTGCTTTTGTATATAATCTTAGCCAGATTTGTTTTAAGTGGCTACTTGTTACTGAGCAAAGACAATTGTCATTATGCCTACATTTGGTGGCATACATTACTGCCCAACTGTTACATAGAATTCATCCATTATTCACTTGAGAAAGGATTGTTGTGCCTGTCAGTGGTGGCACATGCCTTTAATCCCAGCACTTGGGAGGCAAAGGCAGGCAGATTTCTGAGTTCGAATCCAGCCTGATCTACAGAGTGAGTTCCAGGACAGCCAGGGCTACACAGAAAAACCCTGTCTTGAAAAGCAAAAACAAAAACAAAAACAAAAAAAAAAAAAAAAAAAACAACATTTTGATCTTCCAAGTTAAGAAAAATCTACTCAGCTTTTACCTTGATGTCATAAACTGAGAAGGGGGAACCTACCTAAGTCAGTATTTTTAAATAATATGGAAAAATGAGATGGGGCAAAACACTTATTTCTTAGCTGTGATCCTTTTATTGAGGATATAAACATCATAGCAACCAGTCTATATCCAGTAGTTATTTTTAAAAGTTCTGTCTCTCTTCCCACCTCATTCTAGACATATGTTGGGATTACTAACATACTACACCGTTCAGTTTTTTTACATAGCTTCTGCAAATCCAAACATCAGGCCCACTTCCCAGCCTTCGAATGGCTTTTTAAATCATGTAACTCATTCTATGAGTTTTTCAAACTCCTTGATTTTACAAAATGGTTTTGATTTTTATTTATTTCCTGTCAACAAATACCTTTATTAGTTTTATTCTCAGAAAATACTTATAGTGTATCTTTTCAATATTCCAGAAAACTTCCTAAACATCCAGTATGTTCAGTGTCAGATTCCCCTGGGACAGGCAAGATTGTTGAGGGTAAAGGTACTTGCATCTAAGCCAGATGACCTGAGTTCAACCCCTCATATGGTGCAAGAAGAGAACAAATTCCCAAGTTGTTCTTTGAACACACACACACACACACACACACTCATAAATGAATGTACACAGGCACGCAAATGTGCAGTCACAGACACACACAAAATACAGTTTTAGAGAAAAAGTTCATTCAGTCTTTGATAACTTCTCCAAAGAACATCAACTTTAGAAATCCTATTCCTGTGGATTCCCTGCTTTTTAGTAAGCTCAGTACTGAATGTAAATTAATCACTCGTGTTCCTATCAGTTCTGTATCTATTCCTTTTCACAGTGTTTCTAGTTCAGAAAACAGGCGCATCTCTCGAAAATCTTGAGGCATTACAACAAAAACTGGTCAAACTGAAACAATAAAAGTATATTGCTAACTTATCAGAAAAGATCTGTTATCCTTCCCAATGATCAATAATATCATAGCTCTGTAATCTAAAACTATCTAAATCTAAAAACTATTCCTGTAAGAAAAAAAAACTTATAAGATTCCTTAAATACTTTCCAAAATCCTTTCAAGCATGCAAGTCTATATGGTTTTAAACTCATTTAGAAAGCTGACATGATTTTGTATAGAAACAGTTCAATCTTGCCCTTCTGTATGACAGAATCTACAAATGTACTTATGAGAATGACCTGTAGGTCAACACCAAACCTATTAAGAGTGGTTTTCAACAATGCTCTAAATTTTCAAATATTAACTTCACATGCATTCAAAATATAGAACATTTCAATTGAAATCAGTCTTGGTAAAGTAGCTTGTACTAATAAACCAAACTAAATTCTCTATTCATTCACCTACCCAAATGTTGAATAAATAAGATCAGTATAAAGTTAAAGGTTTTGTTTTCACACTCAAAAGACTAAGAGCCTTTGACAGTTCCCAATGTTTGTTACAAAAATCCTAGAAAATTATACACAGATCCCTAAACAAATGCAATAACTTTATTTTAAATTATCAAATAATAAAAAAAATTATCAGTTTTGAAAATAAGCAATAAAGTAATTAAAGCCATTAAAGTATAACAGGGACCTACTGGAAAAAGAATTTTACTTTTGTAACTTTTATTAACATATAATCATCAAGGGTCATACTTTAAAAATCTCTTGAAACAAATTTCTAAGTCAACTTTCTGGTCTATTTATACCACAACATCTCTGCAACCCTAGCCAGTTTACAAAAGAAAAATTGCTTTTAAACCACTGGATTATATTTAAAAGAGGCTCTATTAGCTCTAAAATTTCATCAATTAATAAATCATATATCATATGTATACATATATACACATATATATATAAAATATTGTTACATGCTTTGGAAATCTGTTAACTGACTCACAGATTTCTGCTAAGATCCACAATCCCTAAAACAAGAAAGGGTTTTTAAATAGGATGGGTGGAGGACAGGACTTTCACAGTGGCGTATACAAAGACAACACGAGACCAAAGTACCAGATTCTATCAAAGTCTATCAAAAGTATCCCAGCACTTACTAGCTTCCAAGACACATTTTCAAGGCAGGAAAGAACAGACTGATAGTGACTCTATAGTGTCAATGCAATTCAATGTAATCTTTAACCATTAAATATAAGTATAATGTTTCAGTCTACTTTAATAAATTACACATGGAAAAATGTATGTGTATGTTCTGTGTAATCTTTAAATATTTAGAATGTCTTTGAGGAGCTGAGATGGCTCAATGTGTGAAAATGCTTGTCAGAGATCAGATCCCCAGAATCCACATAAAATAATAGGTGAGGCTGTAATTACAGCCTTGGAAAATAGAGGCAGGGATCTATCTCTGTAGCAAGCTGATTAGCAAGTCCAGCCGCATCAGTGAGCTCTAGGTTTCACTTAGAAACCCTGTCTCACACTATAAAGTGAAAGAGCAATTAAGGGAGATTCCAGACACCAACCTAAGGTCTCTGCATGCAGCCAACACACACACACACACACACACACACAGAATAAAGAGACCTCATTGATAATTAGACTAGCTCATTTAAAATGAGTCCATTTATGTTGGACATGGTGGTGTATACCTGAACCAGTACTTGGGAGGCTGAGACAGAAATAATTCTGTAAGTTTGAAGCCATCATAGGTACACAGTGATACCCTGTTTCAAAATACAACAGTGATGATAATGTTTAGACAAACTATCTGAAGTTTAATTAATGAAATGCTGACTAAAAAAGGTTAACTTTTAAACAGCTTAATCAAAACATGCCGTGTATGTTTCAAGAAACCTGTCCTTGCTATAAAAGTAACCAAAAATAATCCAGCCTACAAGTAATACTTTTCCTTTACTTACTTTATAGGCAAAGTTTGAACATCTAATTTTTTATTTTGACAATCAAACTTTGTCAACTTGATAAAAGAATAAAAACAAACTTCCAACTTCAGACATATAGTCATTAAAGTGAACGTGGAGTGGCATGATAAAATTAACTTATGTTGGTCTTAGAAGAGGGACCAATGAGATGGCTCCACTGTGAAGGCACTTGTTTACATACATGGTACATGGTGATCGAAGTTCAACATCAGGAACACACATAAAAGTGAAGGCAAGAACCAACTCCAAAGGTAACCTCTGACCTTCACACAAGTACATATACATATGCACACACACACACACACACACACACTAGTAACAAAAAATTTTAAAGATGGGGAGGAAATGTTTTCAATTCAGTCAACTATGAACCAAAAGCTTCGTAAAAAAATAAAAATGTCACAAAGAAAAAGATGAATGAATGCTTGAATAAAAAACTGCTAAAAGTCAAAGATCTTTTTGAATATTACCTATGATGAAATAAAATTTGAGATGTAGTAACTGAGATACCTCTTTGTGCAAAGAAATTAAACTGAGCAAGTCAAATGCTCTGTAAGTTCCAAACATAAGCATATAAAATAGAATTTAAATGAAAAATCTTTGATATTCTCAATATTTCTTATTTTGTTTCAAATGCAGTTTTATATACCAGCCCGGGCTGGCCTGGAGCTTGGAATCTTCACCCCCAATTTTGCTACCTTGATATGGCTACTACAGCATATTTCAATGTAACAGAAATAGCGCAGTCTCTGAAGACACATTCCACATTTTATTTACATTTTAAGACTAATTTTCATCTCAAAATCACACATCCATAAACCTATTTCCTTTTTGTTCACTTCACTTAAAACTTCTAAGCATGTTTTATTAAACAAAGACTGTAAACAAATTATGTCTGTTACATGTAACAAACGGGAACAGCTTTTAACAGAAATTCAAAACCCCAAACATCTTTTTATTATAAATACAGGTATCAAAACAATCCTGAACCTATTTTAGATACTAGTAGTAGTCAGTACCCACACTGCTTCAAGAATTAACACAATTGGTGACTAGTCATTCTATCTGCTACTTTAAACAATTCCAACTGCAGCTCTAAATATGATGGATAAAACATGCCATTTCTGTTCTTCCATCTTGAGACTTTACTTTTCAGAAAAACAAAGGTTTCCATGGCCATCTGACAGTTTTTTAACATGCTCCTGTCTTGAAAACCTGAATTCCACATTGAGTACTTCAGGTTCATGTTTAAACGACAGTGCTTTAAGAGGACAAAAAAAAAAAAAAAAATTGTGCTGAACTTCTCTTGTTACCTGAAAACATAATAGGTATACATATATTAAATATATTCTTACAACTGTCCAGGTCATGTTTACCAGCTGCAACTCTTTTACTTAATGTGTGGGTATTTTGCATGGTGATATTTAATCAAGACAATAACATGAGTTGTTGAATTAAGACAAGTTTGAGATCCCCTAAAATTAGTTATTGTACGTCTGTCCTTCTGGTGGCTGTGGAAGCTTCATATTTTCTTTGGACATCATAAGACGTCTTAGTTCTTGAAGTACAACTTTAATGCTATAGGAATTTTGCCATTTTGCTAATACTGGTATGCTCCGTGCATCCACCTGAAAGAGGAAAAAAAGAGAGACAATTAACTACCAAGTATAAAGTACTGCAGAATCATAGCCAGACACAGTGGAGCACATCGGGACAACAGAGAAAAGGATCATCAAATTCAAGTCAGCATGGGCTAGATATGGAGACCGTCTAAGAAAAAAAAAAAATTAAGAGTATTATTAATGATGATAATGTACTATGTATAATATTTTAAATATAATTTAACAAGAATGCTATACTATGAAATTACAAATTTAAAATGTATATTGTAACATTAAGGTTCAGAATTAACGTATTTTAAAATTATGTATTCTAAAAGATTCTTCAACAAGATTTTCTAAAATTCTGGATTTTTTAAGTATTTTCTGTATTTTAACAATGAACATGCAGCAATTTTATTACCAGAATTTCTATATGGATATAAGTATTAAATTAAATGATTCTGTAATCATTTATAAATCCTTCTCAATAATTAACATGAGTTAATCATTGTTGCTGATTTAAGACAAATCTACTAACACTAGAACACTCCTTTCTATTTGTAAGAAAAAGGTTGAACAGTAGTGGATAACACAATCTTGTACACAGACAACTGTAAGAAGAACATTAAGAAAACTAGTGGAGGCCAGGAAGGGTAGTGCACAGCTTAATCCCAGAATTCAGGAGGCAGAGCCAGGCAGATCTCTGTGATCTGAATGATAGCATGGCCTATACAGTTAGTTCCAAGCCAGCCAGGAATACCTTGTCTCAAAAGCATGGAGAGAGAGACAAGAAAGGGGAGTGGCCAAGAGGGTAGAAACAGGGAGAAGAAGGGAGAAGAAATGAAGGAAAGAGAGGAGAAGAGGAAGCAGAATGGGGGATGCAGGAGAGAGGAGACTAGTAAAGCATCCCCATTTTTTAAAAAGCTGTATTTCTATATATTTGCAATGAATCTAAAAACAACAATTAAGAAAATAAGGGCTGAAGAGATGGCTCAGAGGTCCTGAGTTCAATACCCAGCAACCATACGGTGGCTCATGAACCATCTGTAATGAGATCTGGTGGCCTCTCCTGGGCTGCACATGCAGGCAGACTGCTGTATATATAATAAATGATCTCATATATATATACTCATGTATAAAGAAAATAATACTATTTACAATAATAGTATCAAAATTAATAAGATTTGTGTACCAGAAACTGAAATATTAATAGAAACAAAAGGCCTAAATAAGTATACATGGATCAGCAAGTTAATACCTTAAACATGACAGTATTCTTCAAATTGATCTGTAGAAAAATGCATATCAAATTCCAACCTGTCAGGGATGATATAGCACACTTCTGCAATCTTCAGCACTCAGGAGGACCTAGGTCTATATTGTAAGACCCTTAAAACACATTTTTACAACTGCCTCTTTTTCTTGTTTTTTATTTTGGCGTTTTTTTTGGTTTGGTTTTTTTTTTTTTTTTTTTTTTTGGTTTGGTTTTGCCCTAGAAATGAACAAGCTAATCCTAAAATATATATTAGAATGCCAGAAACCAAGAGCAATATGAAAAAATGTCCTTATTTCAGAATACTACAAAGTTACAGTGTTACTTGCAAAAAGGTAAATACAAATAAACTGGGAGTCCAGAATATTTATAGAAGTAAAAATTTTAAAATAGCCCATAATATAGAAGAGTTAAAATGAGGAAACTGTTAGGAAAAATCAGTCAACTTTTATGATATAATTTTTAACAAGAGTGTCTTAGACATAATACCTAAAGCAGATTTAACAAAAGAAAATACAGACTTCATCAAAAGTAGAAATGGTTGGCCAATCTATGATGACACATGCCTGGACTCCTAGCTACTTGGAAGGATCAGACAAAAAAAAAAAAAAAATCAAAAAAATCAATTGAGCTAAGAATTTAAAATCAGCTTTGGTGATCAGACCTGCTAATCTAGAAGCACACAGGTTAGACTTCCTTCTGGAAACCATGTTCCCTACCTGCTGAGTCCTCTGGGACACTCATAGCTGCCCTGTTATTGGAGCTGAACCTCCATAATCCCACCAGGTCTCAGCCCACCATCAGACCTGCTGATCCAGAATCAACAGCACAAGAATACCCATCAGAGGCCTCCCATACCAGGTGAGGCCTCCTCCCAGTACTTATTAAACCAGGAACGTTTAGGGACTAAAGACAATCATAAATGAATGAAATCAACAAAAACTAGGGCAATATGACACCTTCAGAGCACAGGTACCCTACTACAACAAGTTCTGGATATCCTAACACAACCAAAGCACAAGAAAATGACCTTAAATCCAATCTTTAAAAGATGAAAGAGGCCTTTAAAGAGGAAATGAATAAATCCCTTGATGAAATACAGGAAAATATAATTAATATGAAAAAGAAAAAAAAACTGTTCAACATGTGACAATAGAAGTAGAAGCAAAAAAGAAAACACAAACTGAAGGAATCCTGGAGATGGAAAATACAGGGAAAAGAATAGGAACAACAGATGCAAGCATCACCAAGAAAATAGAAGAGATGGAAGAGAGAATAGATTCTCTGGTGTAAAACATACAACAGAAGAAACTGATACATCTGTCAATGAAAATGTTAGATCTAAAATATTCCTGACACAAAACATCCAGGAAATCGGGAAAGCAAGTTGGAGTAGCCATTCTAATTTCTAATAAAATAGATGTTTAACCAAAATTAATCAAGAGACAGAAAATGACACTTCATACACAACAATGGGAAAAAATCTACAAAGCTGATGATCTCAATTCTGAACATCTATGCCCAAGCTTAAGAGTACTTACATTTGTAAAACAAACAAAACAACAACAACAAAATTACTAAAGCTTACATAGTACATCAAACTCCATGCATTAAGAGTGGAGGACTTCAACACCCCACTCTCACCAATCAACAGGTCATCGAGACAAAACCTAAACAGAGAAATAACAAAACTAACAGATATTATGAATCAAATGAACCTAACAGACATCTACAGAATATTTCCAAAATTTTCCAAAACTTTCCAAAATTTAATGAAAATGAAGGTACAACATACCCAAATTTATGGGACTCAATGAAAGCAGGGCTAAGAGGAAAGTTCATAGCACTAAGTGCCTCTATAAAGAAATTAGAAAGTTCTGATACCAGCAATTTAAAGTATACCTGAAAGTTCTAGAAGGAGGAAGAAGATGGGAGACGGGAGACGGGAGACGGGAGACGGGAGAAGGGAGAAGGGAGAAGGGAGAAGGGAGAAGGGAGAAGGGAGAAGGGAGAAGGGAGAAGAGGAGGAGGAGGAGGAGGAGGAGGAGGAGGAGGAGGAGGAGGAGGAGGAGGAGGAGGAAGAAAGAAGGAAGAAGAAGAAAGAAGAAGGAGAAGAAAGAAGAAAGAAGAAGAAGCAGCAGCAGCAGGCATACAAAAGAGTAGAAGACAGTAAATAATCAAAGCCAGGGCAGAAATCAATCAATTAGAAACTAAGAAAAAAATACGAAGAATTAACAAAGCCAAGAGCTGGATCTTTGAGAAAAATCAACAAGATAGATAACCTCTTAGCTAAACTAACCAAGATACAGAGAAACAGTATCCAAATGAACAAAATCAGAAATGAAAAAGGGAACATAACAGACAAGGAAAGTCAAAGAATTATTATGTCTTACTTCAAAAGCCTATACTCCACAAAACTGGAAAATCTTAATGAAATGGATGATTCTCTAGACAGATATCACTTACCAAAGTTAAATCAAGATTAGATACACTATTTAAACAGTCCTGAAACCCATAAAGAAATAGAAGCAGTCATTAAAAGTCTCCCAACCAAAAAAAAAGCACAGGGCCAAATGGTTTTAGTGTAGAATTCTACCAGACCTTCAAAAAAGAGCTAATACCAATACTCCTCAAACTGTTCCAAAAAATAGAAACAAAGGAACACTATCAAACTCATTCTATAAAGCCAAGTCACCCTGATACATAAACCGCACAAATTCTCAACAAAAGAAAGATAATTTCAGATCAATTTCTCATTAATGCAAGAATATTCAGTAAAGTACTCGCAAAAGGAATCCAGGAACACATCAAAAACATCATCCACCATTTTCAAGTAGGTTTCATCCCAGGGATGCAGGGATGATTCAGTATACAAAAATCCAACCATGTAATCCACCATATAAACAAACTGAAAGAAAAAAACCATATGATCATCTCATTAGATGCTGAAAACACTTTGATGAAATCCAACACTGCTTCATTCTTAGTGAAATCAGGGATACAAGGTACATGCCTAAACATAATAAAAGGAATACAGGAAGTCAGTAGCCAACACCAAATTAAATGGAAACTTAAAAAGAATTCCACTAAAATCAAGCACAAGACAAGGCTGCTCTCTCCCTATCTATTCAATATAGTACTTGAAGTTCTAGCTAGAGCAAAAAGACAACTAAGGGAGATCAAGAGGATACAGGGGATACAAAATGGAAAGGAAGAAGTCAAACTATCAATATTTGCAAATGATATAATAATATTCATAAGCAGCCCCAAAAATTCTACCAGAGAACTCCTACAGCTTATAAACATCTTCAGGCAAATGGCTGGATACAAAATAAACTCAAAGAAATCAGTAGCCTTCCTTTATATAAATGATAAACAGACTGAGAAAGAAATTAGGAAAATAACACCCTTCATAGTAGCCACAAATAATATAAAAAAATTCTTAGAGTAACTCTAACAAAACAAGTGAAAAGACCTATAAGTCAAGAATTTCAAGTCACTGAAGAAAAAAACTTAGGAAGTTATCAGAAGATGGCAAGATCTCCCAGGTTCATCGATCAGTAGGACTAACAGTGAAAACAGCCACACTAACAAAAGCAATTTACAGATTCAATGCAATTTCCATCAAAATTCCAACACAATCCCTTGCAGACTTTGACAGAACAATTCTCAATTTTATATGGAAAAAAAAAAAAAAAACAGAATGGTTAAAACAACTCTAGACAATAAAAGAAGTCCTGGAGGTATCACCAACCCTGACCTCAAGATGTACTACAGAGCAATAGTGATAAAAACTGCATGGCATTGGTACAGAAATAGACATCAATGGAATCTAATCAAAGACCCTGAAATTAACACATACACTTGATTTTTGACAAAGAAGCCAAAGCCATACAATGGAAAAAAAAAAAAAAAGCATCTTCAACAAATGTTCTAACTGGATGTCTGCATGTAGAAGAATGCAAATAGGTTCTTATCACCCTGAATAAAACTCAAGTCCGAGTGGACCAAAAACCTCAATGTAAAACTGGATACACTAAATCTAATAAAACAGAGAGTGGGCAACAGCCTTGAACTCACTGGTTCAGGAAACATCTTCAAGAACAGAACACCAATGGCTCAGGTTCTAAGATCAACAATTGATAAATGAGGCCTCAGAAAACTGAAATGCTTCTGTAAGGCAAAGAACATTGTCATTAGGACAAAATGGCAATCTACAGATTGGGAAAGGATCTTCACCAACCCTACATCTGACAGAGGGCTAATATCCAAAATTTATAAAGAACTCAAGAAGACTCCAACAACCCACATAACCCAAAGAAAAATGGGGCACAGAACTAAACAGAGAATTCTCAACAAGAGGAATCTAAAATGGCCAAGAAGCACTTAAAGAAGTCTTCACCATCCTTAGTCATCAGGGAAATGCAAATCAAATGACTCTGAGATGCCATCTAATAGTCAGAATGGCTAAGATCAAAAACTCATATGACACGGG